GTCATCAAGAAGAGAGTTATGTCTAGCGAGCTGTTTATGAAGACAGGGATTAAGCTTTTTAAAAAAAATTCCATTTAAAATATCAAAAATACAGTTGTTTTGGTGCCTAAAAAATAAGCTTTTGATTATCTTCACCCAGTGATGCTAGATTGGTGAGATCCATTCATTCAGGTATTTAGTGAGTACTTACTAAGGTATTCTACAAATAAATAAGGGAGAAATTGTGTTGAAAGATAGGGTGGTATAGTGTGTGCTGCTATTAGTAAAAATAAGCTTTTAAAGTAGGAATGATCTAAAGTGTAATTTGTTTTCACTCAGTAATTTATTTACTCAATCTTTAATTTTCATTGAGGACTCACTGTGCATAACCTATAGTACATGGAAGAATAAATATGCGTATTGTACCAGGTGCTAATAGTGTTAAAATGAATAGAAGCAGTCCCTACTTTCAAGGATCTTGTATCTATAGAGTCATATAAATATGTACATATAGTATGTAATAAGTGGTAAATTAGAAGAAAAGGCTGATTTCAGGATGTGAAATTCATTTAATTGGCCTCCACTTAAGCCAGCTTATTGGATTCATTGATGCTGTCCATTCCCTCTATAAAATATAGGATGGATGCTCATAGGGAGTAGTATACCAGGCTTTGTTGATTCCACAAGTTGACTTGTAACCTTAACAATAATAATAGCTGGGAAAGTTACTTAACATGAAAAAAAAGTGCTGCTGTTGCTGCTGCTGCTGCTGCTGGCAAACTTTTATCTAGTGATTATTGTATGTCAGGCTCTCTTCTAAATGCTTTACATATATTAACTTACTTCACCTTCCTGGTAACCTTAAGAAAAATGTCATATTACGTCCATACTTTAGAGGTAAGGACACTGAAGCATAGAGAAACGTAATTACTTGTCCCAGTTTAGTCAGCTAGCAATGGTAGAATCAGGATTCGAACCCAGGAGCCTAGCTGTAGAGACCAACCTCTTGCAACTACGTTGACTGTCTCTCAAGAGCCAGCTGTGTTTATTTTCAACCTTGTATATGTCAAGTTGCACAGATTAGTGTCATTCTATAACTTAATTATTATATAGATTGATGAAATGTGAGTATAAAAATGTGAATGTTTTTATAAAAACAACAAGTGCTTTGGAAGCAATTTTGCTAAAAATCATTCTTTAATTAGACATGGTCAAAACAACTGTAAAAGATTCAGGAAGAAAATGTTTAAGAAAAACTGCACTCAAAGTGCTTTGTAGGTGTCTTTATGTTTTTACTGCCATTTATGTATTTATGTATGTATGTATGTATGTATTTATTTATTTTGAGTCCAAATGTTGCTCTGTCGTCCAGGCTGGAGTGCAGTGGCACAGTCTCGGCTCACTGCAACCTCTGCCTCCCGGGTTCAAACGATACTCCTGCCTCAGCCTCCCAAATAGCTGGGATTACAGGTGCGCACTGCCATGCCTGACTAATTTTTGTATTTTTAGTAGATACGGGGTTTTCACCATGTTGGCCAGGCTGGTTTCGAACTTTTGACCTCAGGTGATTCACCCAGCTCGGCCTCCCAAAGTGCTGGGATTACAGGCGTGAGCCACTGTGTCCAGCCTGTTTCCATTTAAAGAACTGAAAAATACAGCCAAGGACTTACAGGGGTGGCATACGCAAGAAAGACCTGTAATTCCCATTAACAAGCCCATACTCCCAAAGTCTTACTCAACACCAAAATATCAGTTATTTATATATGTTTATGTTTAAAATACAACAAAATGTTTAAAGTATACATATTATTTTAAAAATGATTCTCTGGGTTAACTGACCTTGCTGAGTGATTTATCCTCTCTCTGTCCAATGCTGTCAGATAAGATGGCTTTTCCTACAGTTAGAAGCAACTCTTAATCCAGATTGTGGTGGTCAGGAAAGAATTTCTGGCGGAGATATCTGAGATGAGACTTACTGAATGGGTAAGACGTGAAAGTGAAGGAGGAAAAGGATATTTCAGGTAGAGATAACAGCAACTAAAAATGCACAGAGGTATAAGAATATGCATAGTAAGCTGTAAGTAGTTTATTACAGCCATAGCATAGAATGTGAATGGCTGCTGGAAATAGCTGAGACTGGATAGGAAGTTAGAGGTTAGAGTGTGAAAAAATTTATATTGCTTTCCTTTATGATTTTGCTCTGCTTTCTCAAAGTCTGTTCTCAACACAGGAGTTAGAATGATGCCCTTAAAATGTAATTCAGGGCTGTGCGCGGTGGCTCATGCCTGTAATCCCAGCACTTTGGGAGGCCGAGGCGGGTGGATCACCTGAGGTCAAGAGTTCGAGACCAGCCTGGCCAACATGGTGAAACCCTGTCTCTACTAAAAATATAGAAATTAGCCAGGTGTGGTGGCATGCACCTGTAGTCCCAGCTACTCGGGAGGCTAAGACAGGAGAATCACTTGAACTCGGGAGGCGGAGGTTACACTGAGCCGAGACCACGCCATTGCATTTCAGCCTGGGCAACAAGAGTGAAACTCTGTCTGAAAAAAAAAAAAAAGAGACTTTGTTAAAACAAGATAAGCAAAGAAGGAGATTTTGAAAATATTATTAATGTGTTTGTTTCCATTAAAGCCAGAAAAATGAAACTATAATTAGTCAAATTTCTGGTATAAATAAATTTAAACTTAAAGTAATACGTGAGTTTTAATGCACCTACTTTTCAATTTTTGGCATTTTTCAGCTACTTTAATGTTCCAGAAAAATGTTAACTACAGCCAGGCGCAGTGGTATGCCTGTAATCCCAGTGCTTTGGGAGGCTGAGGTGGGAGGATTGCTTGAGGCCAAGAGTTTGAGACCAGCCTGAGCAACATAGTGAGACCCTGTCTCTACAAACAAATTAAAAAATTTGTCAGGCATGGTTGCGTGCATCTGTAGTCCTAATTACTTGGGAGGCTGAGGCAGGAGGACCACTTGAGCCTGGAAATTGGAGGCCAATAGAGCAAAAAACAGAAGAAAAATGTTAACCATTAAAAAAAAATATATCAAAACACGTATGTGCAGTTTTGATGCACATTAATGGCATCAATATGGCTCATTAAGATACTATTGGGTTCTGTATGTAAATGTTGGATATTTTGCTCATTATGGATTGTTTACATTTTTATTTTAAAAATATTGCATTAAAATATTATTTTTCTTGATTATTGAATTTTTGAGCACTCTTTTAAATTTTGCACCCTGGGTGAATGCTTCACTTCATTCTAATTTCCAGTAGTGTTTTCCACTATAAAATGAGTTTCTTGTTGGAGGTGATGTTGAGTGAGATTCTGTAGAATTCTGGAATTCTGTAGTGTAGTGTTCAGAAAGTCTGTTAATTATAGTACTGGCAGAGAGTTGTGGGCAGGGAAAGCAGATCCTTAGCTGGAATACATATCTATTCCTGTGAGGGGATCTCAACCTTGGCTGCACATTGGCAGCACCTCAATCTCTGTAGGTGGGACCTTAGCATCATTGATTGTTAAAGCTCTCCAGGTGATTCAGTGTGCAGCCAAGATTGAGAACAAGTGATCTACAGCAGTACTATTTAAACTTTAGTTTACACATGAATCCTATGTAAGTCTCGTTAAAACACAGGTGTCTTAGTTTCAGGGAGTAAGTATGCATTCATAAAAAACTTCCTGTCACTGCTGGTCCATTGACTACACTTTGAGTAGCAAAGCTTTGTTGTGTACTAGAAAAATTTCACTGTTTTCACCTCACCAACTATAGGCCACAGTTGAGTCCAGATTTGAATGAACAAACCCAGCAGACTGTTAACACCATTTCTTTTTCTTTTCTTTTCTTTTCTTTTTTTTTTTTATGGAGTCTCACCCTGTCGCCCAGGCTGGAGTGCAGTGGCTCAATCTCGGCTCACTGCAGCCTCTGCCTCCCAGGTTCAGGTGATTCACTTGCCTCAGCCTCCTGAACAGCTGGGATTATAGGTGCCCTCCATCACTCCCCACTAATTTTTATATTTTTAATAGAGAGGGGTTCCACCATGTTGGCCAGGGTGGTCTCTTAACTCCTGACCTCAGGTGATCCACCTGCCTCGGCCTCTCAAAGTGCTGGGATTACAGGGATGAACCACCACGCCTGGCCCTGTTAACACCATTTCTAAATGTCTGAGCTAACACTTTAAATCATGAATCTTGGGTGAACATACCCATATCAATAAATTCAGCCCTACCTAACTACATATTTTTTTTCTTTTGATCTAATAACCCTAGAATCCATTTTCTTAGATGCTCTCTGGAATCCTACTGATACAAATAAGAAAGTTTCTACAACTCCAGTATAAAGGCTGTTTTCTCCCCTACCTTGTACTTATATCTAGGCGAAGCTAGCCTCTAACCCCTCTCATTGGCCTTTTTAAGGTAGTGAAAAGTAGTAAAGGTGGGTGCTGAGGAGAATGGGCATTTCTTTCTGTGGCAACCGTTTCAGATGAAGTTACTGAAAGGTTTTTATGCAAGAGAAAGTGGGTTGGAACATAGGTGAGGAGGACTGTTCTTTTTAGCAGAAAGTTTTTGGGCTTTGGGGTTCCAAAGTTAGGCTTCATGTGTTAGTTCCTACATCCTTATCCCAAGACACAATCCCACTTCTTCTCAACCATTGCCCTTAACCTTCAGTCTGGCAGGGCTGTACTTTTAAATGTCATTGCACGTCTGCAGACCACTCAGGCATTGGGCCAGATCTTTAGCCATGTCTGTCTTGGGCTTTAAGGCTGCAGAAATGAAGAAGATATGATGCCTTGAAGTTATATGCTATTTTTGTAAACACTATAGAGTTTTCTCTCTGCTTAGTTAACTTTAGAGTTAACATGAGAATGAGTACAGAAAGTTGAAATATTTCTTTGAATGTATCACATTGCATTGTCAATCAGTGACTATTTAGAGGGAGCCTTAAATGTCCAAGATACTGTATCATATTGACAATAGATTATAAGTTGTTGGCCATTAAAATTTTGTGTTTTTTATTTACAGAAACTTATTGGAGAAGTGTTTAATATTGTGAGCCAACAGTCTACTGCTCGACCTGGCTGCATTATTGAACTCGATGCAATAACCAACCAAGTAAAAACATGCTTGTGAATTGGTGATATTATATACTTTATCCCATGATGTTTTATGTGTATATGATATATGTCATTCTCAGAATAATTTTCTTGTTTGTTATTAAATGCAGACAACTTCAGTTGATTCCCATAGTGAAAATCTACTAATGATTTAGGGATTATTTTTCTCCTTGGGAAACCAAGAACCATATGTTCTCACTTATAAAGTCGGAGCTAAGCTATGAGTATGCAAAGGCATACAGAGCGATATAATGGACTTCAGAGACTCAGAAGCGGGAGGGTGGAAATGGAACTAGGGATTTAAAAAACCACGTTAGGTACAGTGTACACTACGTGAGTGATGGGTACACTAAAATCTCAGAATTCACTACTATATAGTTTATCCATGTAACAAGAAAACCACTTGTACTACGAAAGCTATTTAAATAAAAAATTTTTAAAAAGGAATTATTCTTCTCCAGTTGAATTGTATTTGTAGCAAAGGAAATTTGGTTCAGTTAGAGAAACCATGACCCTGTTCTTGAAATGCTGAGAGAAAATACAGTGCAGCTGCATAGAGGATCGGGTTGTGGTTTCTCGTTTTATATTGTTACTCTTTTCAACTCAGTAGAGGGTGACCTCAGCTTCAGAGTGTTTGCCTTGTTAGGCCCTACGTTGGGTACTTTTATGAGGTCCTTTAAAATGCAGATGAAAGTCAGATCAAAGTGAACATATACTTTTTAATAACAGGTCCTTTGTGTAGTCAGTATTCCTCCCTAGCTACTACCTAGGAAATAAGGAGAACCCTTCTCCCTACAGGGAGATGTAAAACCCATTTTAGCCCTGAGGATATTTGTTTCTTTAGGACTATGTTTATGTATTAAGGGATAGAACTAACATTAATTCCAAATGTGAAAAGGTTTAGTTTGGTAAGGAAGCTACCAATAGTTTTAAACAAGGAAATGAAGAAAGAGCCAACTGTAGTTAAAAGCAAGTATAGAATTATATCATAAATTTTCTTTGGTGTTTTGCACTTTCTATTGGGGAAAATGTAGTCATTTCTGCTAATATAGATAAAATACATCATCTCTTGATAGCAGAACTGGGGCTGCCAGATCCAAATTGCTAATACCTCCTGGGAAATGTTTTTTAATCCCCAGTGCCCCACCTTTCTTCAGATTCAGCCTGTGATTTCTTTTTTCTACGCCATAGGGATGTAGAAGCATGGGTTGGCTTCCTTCCTACAGATAAGTTAATTTTTAATGGATTGGATGTTAAATTCATCCCCTACTTTAGCCTCCTTTGCACTGATTACCATGGGATATTAATATAGCCTGCTCTCACAAAGCAGTCTTTTTACTTCATATTTGCTCAGCATTTTCTCCCCTGCTCCTTGTGGCTATTTTTAACAGAAGGCCTGGTAAACTGTAAGCAATAATGAATGACAAAGTTTAAAGTTCTTTCTAGGTTTGTTCCCAGTGTGTTGTATGATTTCTATATCCATAAAGGTATCACCCTTCTCTTTACTTTCATTTATTCTTTGTCCCTTGGGAAGGTGACCTCCTAGACAATGAATGTGAAGAGATTTTTAATGTTTCTACCTATAGAAACACAAAATGCCCTATAACTTTCATAAAATTGTGTGGCCCAACCAAATATTGTAATTCTTTTATTTCTTTCTATTATGTAAAGAGGCAGGCTTTCCTTTATAAGATTAGTGACTCCTCATCAAATGCCAAGATAATCATAGCTACTTCCCTTTCTTGAAATCTCTGGGGGTGCCATCTGATTGTCTTAATACACTTCCAAAATAAGCTTTTGTTTGGATGTAGCCTTTCCTTGAACTTCGGTTCACGTTAAGGTTCTAAGTAGCCATTCGTGACAGTCTTAAAACGTGGTCATGGAGCATAGCAGTTGACAGTGATGTTTCATCCATCCTTTGAGGGGTTCTAGTTACTTATGTGTGAGTTTAATTCTCTAGAGATGTATCCTCCTGCTGGCTGTTACAGGATCCCTCGTAATTCCCACTAGACAGAGCTGTTGGGATACTTTGAGGAGCTTTCTGGGTTTTGTTTTGTTTTTTGGTTCTCTGGTGGAATTGAAAAAACTACAAGTTGTGTAGTAGTCTAGTGTGTCTTACATAGTTAGTGCAGCCCTCCCCAGTCAGTTGTGAATCTGATGCTTTCAGGCTCAAAGTGGTGAAGGTTGCTTAACTGCTCTTTAAATTTGGGTTTTTGTAGCTTCTTTTTTGTTTTTGTTTTTTTGAGAAGCAAACCGGTTGATTTGTTTCTGCTAGAGTTCTTCTATTCTGCTATTGGCTGTGACATCTTTGAAAGTAATTTTTCTCTGACCAGGATAGTTTTAATGATTTTTTTCTGTTGTTTTATTTCTTTCTAATTAGTAGTAGTTAAAGAATAGAAATTGTTAGATATATTTCTTCTGCATTAGCATTGGGGAGGTGATGGATGGGAGATGGGAGACAGAGAATTTCAAAGAGAAAACCTCTTCATTTTTTTTCATATTTGTAGTGTGGCTCAAATACACAGTTGCTTCATGTGTTTCAAGAAGACTTCATTATAGGATATAAACCACATAAAGAAGATATGGAGAAAAAGGAAACAGAAATATTTTTTCAGCCATCACAAGGTACTTTAAAAAAATAGTCTGCATTTGTTTACCTTCATGCTAAAAAAAAAGATCTCTAAGCTTTCATTGAGTATGGATCTTCAAAAGTTATCACTCTCATAATTTTTGACAGATACACCAGTTAGTTCTGTCAAAATTGCTTGCTTGTAGATGAAGAGGGCATGTGGGTGAACATTACATTTTGCAAGACAGTTCACCGGTGATACAGACTTTTGCCAAGAAATGGTGTCTATGAACCTTAATTTGTTTCAAAAAGTAAGTTTAATTATTCAACTCTGTAAGTAAATTATTTTGATTGGTAGTTCCATTTGGTATCTCAAGGAAAACAGTTAATTTTATTATAGGTTTTAAAAAATTACCAGTAAATTGCTTCAGACCAATGATGAATATAAGATATAAGGTATCATGTTGTGTGGGACAGTAGAAACCTCATGGAAATAGTGAATGCAAGGTACCGTCTCACAGTTTTCCCCTTTGAAGTGTGGTATTTTTTCCTTTTTGTGAAAGTAAGTAGTTTAACCCTTTCAAAAACAAACAATATGATGTTTAGTTTAAGCTTTATAACTTAGCTTAAAATGTTACCTTCAGACATTAAACTATATTTAAGATTTTTAAATTGGCAAATAAAATTGTGTGTATATATATATAACTTCATAATTATAAAACCAACATGTTCTATTTGAAAAGCCATGTCTTTAAGAATTAAGTGTCTGTGTTAATATTTAGTTTACAAAGGGTTTTTAGATAATTAATTTCATTTGGTTACAAATTGTGAAAATCCAGATGGACATATTTAATTTTCTTAGTGTAGTTTTCATCACAAAATTATGTATAGCATCTAAGGAAACTGTTTCTATGTAATTTGTGCAGATAATTTCCTTTGCTTTAGTGGAAAATCAGATTGAGGTCCTGTATTCTAAGAAGCTTAGCTCAAACATCTTTTCACTCGCCAGACTAGTAACTTGTTTTTCTTTCATATCTCTTTCTTCATACACAAAACTTTTCTTATTTATGTTATTCAATTATGTTCAATTTTATTTCACTATCATTATAACAGCAGTACTTCTTTACAGATTTAAAATTTACTTTTCTGTAGTATCTTACTTTTGCCTGGGTTAATCTTTTTAATATGGTTTCCAACAAATGTAGCTGCCATTTATCACGTTATTTCTAACAGGAAAGATATGCCAACTTACCAGAATTCAATGCTTATATAAAGTTGGTACTTTTCTTTATAATATTTTAATTGACTTGCATTAAATTTTCTTTATTTCTCGCTTTTGGTATTTGTTATGCCACTGCTAAATCAGGCCAAAAGATTTCCTCAATGCTTTCTTGGTTTTCCTTTAGTTTTTGTGTGAAGTTTCTCTTTCTTCCTGATTTTATAGCTGTGTTCTTAAAGGACTTGTGTAGGTTTCTCTTCTTCTCTGCTTCTGCTTTATTTTGTACTTTCTAAGTTTTAATTCAAAGTTTATTACTCTCTTAGTTAAGAAAAATGCCAAAAATAGACAAAATTAAGTGCATAATTAAGTGAACCTCCATATTTGAATTATAATGTAGGTTAAAGATTTTATCACACTTGCTTTGTCTGCACAATTTTTCTTTCTTTTTCCCCCCTGAAATTTTTTTGTTCCCCTGAGACAGAGTCTTGCTCTGTTGTCCAGGCTGGAGTGCAGTGGCGTCATCTCAGCTTACTGTAACCTCCACCTCCCAGGTTCAAGCAATTCTCCTGCCTCAGCCTCCCAAGCCGCTGGGATTACAGGCGTGTGCCACCACACCTGGCTAATTTTTTTGTGTTATTACTAGAGTCGGAGTTTTACCCCGTTGGCCAGGTTGGTCTTGAACTCCTGACCTCAAGTGATCAGCCCGCCTCGGCTCCCAAAGTGCTGGGATTATAGGTGTGAGCCACCGTGCCTGGCCCCCCTGAAATATTTTAAAGCAAATCCAAAGCAGAAATCCCACTGCAGTGTTGTTTCTTCACTAATGCATTTCTAAAATAACTCCCTTACATTATTTGCTATTTATCAATTGATAAAATAATAAAAATTCCTCAGAGTCATGCAATAACTACCCCATTTTTCATTGATTGTCAAAAGTTGAGGTTTTTGGTTTATGTGTTTTGTTTGAATCTATATCCAAACAATGTTTACATATTGTGTTTTCACTGTCTATTAAGAAGAGTATTTTAATCTAAAGTGATACCCTTATATACACCCTCCATTATGCCACTAACTTTAGAGCAAGGTTTTTTTTTTTTTTTTAAGTTTTTTTTTTTTTTTTGAGACGGAAGTCTCGCTCTGTCGTCCAGGTTCAGCTCACTGCCAA